TCAAGAGCCGCTGCCGCCGGCGTATCGTGAGCTCTGTGAGGAGGATCCCACTCCCATCGCCACTGAGGCCACTGGTACTTCGATGGTCGAACCTCTCGCCATTCACCATGATAAGTAACTAAGAAGAAGTTCCACCACTCTGTGAGGGTACTTGATACTTTTCTCGGGTTGTTTGATTTCCCCCTTGAAAGTCCAAGGGTACTTGGGCTCCATAACGAACCAGCCGAAATCGTATCTAACTCCCACATTGTCGATAGGAGGTCCTTAGATTCATTGGTCGAACACAAAGGTCTCACTCATCGGGTAAACCTCGGTGAGAAGTTGGCGTGTGCCCAGCCCTCTTCTCGTACTCGTCCCATCGGAAGGGTTTCAGGGCAGGCCCGTACCTGATGTATGCGTGCACTTAGCGAGTCCGACTAGTGAACGTGTACATAGTCGGGCCAGCTTGAACAACACTACGCATGTGCTGATATCCCCAGGTGTAGTTGGTGGCCTTGGTATCATAACAACCGTTGGCTAGCTAACCACAACTATAAGCCTATAATCGGCTGAACCGAATTGCCTCACTGGGTTGTCATCAGGTAGGTCTCCTCGAGCACAGAGAGCTAGCGTGGGGTCATGCTTTGAGAGAGGATCGATCTCATACCGGTTACTCCGGATGAGCTCTGCTAAGTCCATCACCTGACTATCACCACTGCTATCACCACTCCGAGTGGATTGACGACCTCTGATGTCACCGAGGCCAAGTGGCTGTCTCGTCGGAAGATTTCCCCTCTAGCTGCGAGGTCGTACGTGAACGATGGGTTGTGCGTTTTATTATATCTACTTCATTTACTGTACCATGTTTTGATGAAGAACGACTTACGCTTCGTCGTAACCAGCGGCGCGACGGACTTCAGGGAAATAAGGGGAATTATACCTGGCTTGGAGTTTCTCTACAGCACTCAAGAAGCCGCATGACTTTTCTTACGATGCCCAATAGCCCCAGCGTAGAGCCCTGGTAAGATCCTCCCCGACTGTGAGACCTATGGGACACATCTCACAAGGTTGTCAGGGTTGGACTATACACACCTGGGATCGACTCGATAACCCAAAGAAGATCGTCGTTCAGCGGTTGGCCAGGTGTGAACTTATTAAAGTCAATGACCATGTACCTTCATCGCATTCTTGGTGTCCACACTAGATGATGATAGTGAGCCTACTGGTTATTGTATGTACCGCTATTATGAGGTTTGTATAACTCGAACCACGATGCTCCATCGGTTGCCAAGTGATTGGCTATCCTTACTCCTGTACAAAGATCATCACTAGGAGTTCAACGATGCTGTTACTTTGCCACGCTAGGAGGGCCTCAGGATTGATTTTCATGTGGGTGTCTTTGTCGAGGACCCACAGCGTTGTCTGTATCATGGCCAAACCAGAACTCATCAGATAGAAATCATCCAGTGACATTTGGGAGCCCGCATAGGAAGAGAAACTCATGACCTGGTGAGACATTTCGCGCGCCACGAAATTGATTCTGTGGTGCACCTCGGCCTTGTTCTGTTCGAAATGCATATGGTAGTGCTTGTAAATTCTGTTCGTAGCAGCGTAACTACCGAGAAAGGTTCCTGTATTTTTCGAGTCAGTTACGATGGAAGCAAACTGTCGAACCCCATAGCGGTTACATGAGAAAGAATTTGAGGAAATCATATAGTCGGCACGCTCCGGATTTTTTCTGCCGCTCGCAGAAGCTCGCCACCAGGGGGAATGAATATAGAAACGACTGATTTCATAATTAAAAATTTGACGCTATGAAATCGATAATCATCTTGGGATCTCGCACAGAGTAATTGGGAGGTTCTCCAGCGAGCTGTGCTAGGACGGTCTTACGTGAACCAAGCGGAGTGGCCGAGGCGGAGATCAGTAAAATCTGGCGCGACCTTCACCAGAGCGGTGCACATTGAGTGACGGAATAGGCCTCTGAGGACAATGCATGTGATTAACCGGCTACTATCTTATGTATCGATATGATCACTTCACAAAGTAGTAGCCACAAGGAAATCATCGCTATGATCGATTCCGCGATAATAGGGCAGATTTTGATTATTCGATAACGCCGTTGACTGAATGCCAATGTGGGGAGATATGCATATGGTCAACTACATGTGTTGGTGACAATATTAGAATTCTCTGGAAATTATTGTTGGTCTCGGGAAATTTTAACCCGAATTCGTGCATAAACTCGTATAGTTAATAAGGAAACTCCTAGGAGAGGGAACGTATACTCCAATACTAATAAACACCGATTCAAGAGGAACAAGAGGCTCACAGTGGATCGGGAGTGTTGTGAGTATTGGTATTGTTGGCCTCCACTAAGACGTAACTGATCGATGGCTATACCGACAGATGCACAGCCGTTGTGTGCATACACAATGTCGAGGAGATCCCCTATAGCGTTGAGGACCGTAGCGATCTGCCAAGGGTCGGCATTGTAGGTCTCATTGGTGATGTTATTCTCATCGAAATATCTGAATATGCATCCTGGATTTGAAAATCTTCCGCGTGCGCGCGTCAAGAATTCGGCATGGTCGCCGAACACGATACGATCCACAGTCGTTTCAGACGGAAATAGCAACACTGGGAACGCCATGGTTATGCTCCTGAGGGCAAATTTCGGGCATAAATGATTCTTAATAGTGTGAAATTTCGATGAGCGATTCGATGGCGTACTGTGCTACAGTACTTGACGAATTCTCAAAACTGTGGAGGTTCGGAATTGAGTGAAGAATATCTCACCGTTGTATTCCGGCTACTTCTCCTTTATACTGTTGCAGAACGAAATTGGCGGTTTTCCAGTAGTCATCGTAGACTGCAGTTACCACAGTGAAGAATAGGAAAGTTGTCGCAACAAGGCGCGCTTACCGTTATCATCTGTGGCCACTTGCCGTTCGAACCATACGTATTGGTTTCTCAAGAAGTCCACCACAACCTATGAAGATTTAGACTAATGCCAGCATCGAAGAGCTACTGAGCGATGCTTCGGTCGGTTGCGCATCATATCTCCCAAAAACAGTCAGGAAATGCCATCACAGCAATTTATTGCACTTGTAGATGCCAAGTTGGTGCTGAACTGCTTTTTCAGACTTATGGCAAAGAGCTTCACTGTAATGCACTCCACGATAGCTCAAATAGTTGTTAAACTGGTTTTTTGTGGCTCGAATCCAACCGAACCGATGAGAGTAACATTTGGTTTCGCATTCACCACTCGGCTTGAAGCGTAACCATGAAAGTGAGCCGTAACGGTCCGTAACGTAATTCTGCCCATCTATGCATCGTAGAACGAAGGGTAAACAAATCTGAGTTGCCTCAGATTTTTATGGTATATGATCGTGATTCGACTTCGATTGGAAACGACTCCTCGATAATTCTTGAAATCGTGCACGCTGAAAACTAACTTAACGAAACGGCAATTCCGGCTACCCCAGCAGCTGTTACACCGGCAAATGAAAAACCTTATGACTTGTGACTCACATCAGGGAAGGGTTCATCAACTTTTCCGAGAAAATAATCTCGAAGATTGCGGAAGTTGTTGATGATATGTTCACCAGTAATGTAGCCCTCTAGGAATCTGAGGTCGCATGAGTCGACCGA